TACAAATGTGTGTCCAATAATGAGAACCTTTAAAATTGATTTAAAACTGCTGTGTTTGTCATGAGTTGGTGTTTGTAAATCTGTGCACGTCTGTTGAGAGCTGTTTTCATATCCTGCAAAGATTTGAGGAAGGCAAGGTCTCGAGAGAGTTTTTGCTTAATGAACAAAAAGTAAAATGGCTTTGTTAAAAAAAAAAATCACACTAAGTGGGGAAAGGTGCTGTTTGGAGTCGAGCTGCAAAATGAATAAGAGAGAAAAGGAAAAACTAAAATCCAATCTTCAGGAAAAAGAGCCTTCATGTTATAGTCACCAACATGTTTTTACTTGAATCATAACTCAATAAAAAAAAACATTTTTTTAATGTTTGTTTGCTGCTTGTTTGCTGTATACTAAAGCATTTTCATTCCAGTGTATGAAATAGTTCTGCTCTGTCAGGTACACACGGTGTCCTTGGGCTTTAGGGCCTTGACACATCAGTCACAGTAATATTGGACGCTGAAAGACTGGTTAAAGAGCCAAGTCCACGGTCCACGTGTAACTGAATTACATGGACATGAAAAACAAGTATTTACAGAATACCAAATAATTAAATAACCACCGACACTGAGCTAGAGTATTGCTCAAAAGTCTTGAGCCATCTATTTCTTTATACTTGGCTTCAAAGGAGCCACAATTTCTTAGATTTTTTAAAGCGATCTTCAGTAATAGTTCGTCTGATAACGACTGTGTTGAGTCTGTTCCTTCCCATTCCATGCAAGGCCACCTGGGTTGGCTGGAAGACTGTTTACTTAGCCTAGCAGGGCGAAGGACACTGTCTCAGCTGAACTATGAACACACATACACTTACACTGATAAGCACACACTGATAAGCACACACTCATCTTAACATCAGGGATAGCTCAGTAGGTAGAGTGGTGGCCCCATGATCGGAAGGTCGGGGGTTCGACTCCACTGAACGGCTACCCTGAGGTACCCCTGAGCAAGGTACCGTCCCTACACACTGCTCCCCGGGCGCTGCACTGGTGGCTGCCCACTGCTTCACTGGGTGAATGGGTTAAATGCAGAGGAACTATTTCCCTATGGGGACTAACATGCACACTTTACACTTTACACATCCCCCTCCCTTTCCAAATGCCTTCGATGCTTGTTTCCTGCGGGGGAACACGGCGGGTCTGTGTGCCGCGCTGGAATGGTAGCGCTGTGCAGGGCGGCTGCTGTGTTCGCTTCGGATTACTCCTCACCCCCCACCCAATCCCGTGGCTTGTCACGTCTTTCACAAAGTTGTGCTGTGGACATTTATATGCTTTTTGTGCAGAGGAGTTTTTTTTGTTTCCTGTTCTCATGCTGTCCTACCATGGAAGCACAGCATGAGTAGAGGTCTCTTTTTTTCCTCTTGTACTTTCCCATTGTAGTGTACATTTCAGTGTTTTTCTGTAACGCTACCGATCTCCGACTTGTATCCCCATGTAATGTCTGTGTTGTGTGTGTAAGGTCAGGGGGTCCCATTTCACTGCAGGGCAACCTGCATGTGGCGAATAAAGCTTTGATTGATTGGTTGATTGATCTGGGTTTCTGAAGCTCCTTAAAAGTTTGTGTTTGGAAATTGGCTACATTTTTACCCATTTTCCATCCAGTCCTTATACCTGACCATTGTTTAAGCCACTTAACATTGACCTACGAATCATTCAAGCATAAATAAGGTGCCTAACTCAATGTATGAAGCACTGTTGTCTTCACATGTCAACTAAGTAAAGAACCTATGTTATATTGTATCATTAGGCACTTACAAGCAGCCGGCCACAAAAAACAGATATTTTGTTCCCATTGCTTTAGTTCCCATGTGACAGGCATAAAATAGTATTTTTGCACCAACAAGGTGATTCCTAAAGAGCTGAAAAACTGGCACGTCAGTCTGCCGTGTGGTCTGCATTTCTGTATCTGCTTCACTCATTTAGAGTTGGTTCTGTCTTTTACACCAAAATGATAGGTAACAGATTTTTTTTTTTTCATATAAACTCAACTTAAAGTGAATGATGATATTCCTCTTTAACTGCTGGATGTTAATAATGTCAACATATAAACTTAAAAGATGATGAATTGTAAATCTCTAACCAGAAATCAAGGTAAAGCATCGAATATTAAACCGCATGTCTGGAACAACAACTCTTCTCAGGCCATGGAAATTGGAAAAGTAGAGGGCAAAGGAAGAAGTTGCAGGATTAAAAAAAATATAGCAGAAATTCATGTCCTAAGGAAGAAATCCAGCAGAGACCCGAGAGATGATAAGTGGACTGTTTCTCATGGTGCTTTAAATAACGTCTCATTTACACAAGCACTTTTTTCTTATAGATAAATGCTATCTAACTATTCTATCTAACATTCATTAGTAGATAACCTGCTCTACCCTGATGAACTGGTCTGCAAATCAGTGGAAACAGGTCTCCTTGAGTGAAGAATTCAAAATTGAAATTTTTGGTTCAGATACAACCATCTATAAAACACGGTGGAGGCTTCGTCATGCTTTTGGCTGCATTGCAGACAGTGGTGTTGGGGATCTGATTTTGATCCACCAACTTGAATTAATTTGACTGACAACAGTTTCATTTTTAGGCATGAGAATGATCTCAAACGCGGTGCCATTTCAATAAAAGCTTGCGTGGATAGAAAAACACAAATTGTAGCACAATCGGTCATTGATTATTCCTCCCCGGAGCCTGGACCTCAACATTATTAAAGATGTGTGTGATCATCTTGACAGAGAAAATGTTTGTTTCAAGAAACTGCTGTACCCGTTTTCCATTTCTATAAAGAACTGAGGGCCGGCTCAAGACTTTTGCACAGTGCTGTATTTTTCTGAAACGTCACACTCAGCTTGATCTGGAAGTAGCTGCCGCTGCAGCCGGTGAAGCTGTGGCTGGATCTGCGTGCCATAACAACATTATTATGAGATCAAACATACTGAAATGTGCCAGTTCTGATATGTTCACACTCAAAGCTTAAAGCATTAGGCACAAAAGTTGGCAGAACACCCTAACACACACAAGTTAGATTAGCATTTTTAGATTATATGCTGTACTGGTTGTGGAGCTGTGATAACAAAATGCAGGGTCTTTGACATTGTGTCATTTAGTTTGGCTCTAGCTCAGAGTGAAAGTTCAGTGAATTTTAAGGTTATTTGGCTGTTGATACGGTGCCCTTTTTTGTATGAAAGTAACTCTGGCAATGACCAATGCGAATCTGGTCAGATGGAGAGCATATAAAGCAAAAAAAAAAAATTAAATAGCTTTCTGTTGTCCCTGAGATTGTGGCGCTAATTTGGCTTAACAATTAGCCCCTTCACAAATTAAATGCATGCTAAAAAATGACACCTACCTTGTGTGTTTAAGTGCAATACCAAGAAGTCATTTATAAGCATTTGTATGTGATGAGTTAGAAGTAAACGGGCAGTTTGACTGTTGCCGTAAAGACAGTGCATAATGGCACCGATGCTAAAGGACACCTTGTGCATATCTGTGAAACGCCAGCGGCTTTGACAACGCAGCAGTATTTGAGGTCCTCTCATGTTTATATGTTGCATCTGTTCATGTTTTTCTCTGCCGTGCCCTTGACTGCTGCGAAGTCAAGAAAGAAAATGTAAACTTACACATTCACCCGTGCAGTGCCTTTTCTTTTCTCAGCTCTGCCTCAGTATTTGTAGAAACATTTGCATTCAAACTATCTGTGCCAAAAAGATTATGTTGTGGATTTGATTCGGTTGACTGTGCATGCATACATGCATGCATTTCCTCAAATGCATGCATTGAGAGGAATACAGTGACCTTTTCACTAAATAAGCTTATAAATGCACGCAAACAGCGGAAGATAACTCGCGTTGCGGCTTTAAATCATCCGTGGCAGCACTGTTGTGAAGAAAATACTGAGCACGGAGTTTAAAATGCAACCGACCATTTTACTGCACATCAGTGAGTTGAGCCTGTTTGTTAAAGGAATAGAGGTCGCATAGTCAGAAATTAATTCAAATGAGATGAATCGAAACTCAACACACTGCTGTTGTGCTTCTATGTTCGAACTTTAACACGTGTTATATATATCTAACACATCTTAATAATTTAAAGCACAGTTTATTCTCGCAAAGTAATTACTTTTGGACAGACGTACTAGTTGTTGTAACTTAATGGAAGCCTTCACTTTGATCCGATTTGTTACAGTGCAAGAATAAATTTAGCCCGAACAGATGCTTACCCCCAGTCTCGGAGTATACATCTTTTTCTTGGGTGTAATGCGAGTTAGGATAATTAAGCTGCAGGACCTGACGTTAGATAATGGACCGCGGCAGTGAAAGGCGTCCATAATGACCGATGAGAACTCGGGCCATTGTTGTTAAGAGCGTGGACGCCAAGATGCAGCCGCACACCGCCAGACGTATAATCACAGATCCTGTAGATAGTCATACGAAGTCATCAGCGTGCGGCAAACCATTTCTGTCTACAGTATTTTTCTTTCAGACTCCTTCCTTCTCAAACACCCATCACAAGCAGTTACTCTAAGATGGACACTTATACACTCCCCCGTTCGTTATATTGATCCATGCTTACACAAGCATTAGCACTCACTTAGAATGAGAGGCATGTCTTCACCCAAACTCAGGAGCACCGAGCACAAACACATCCATACAAATGGACGCAGCCGAGTTTCTCGTGTCACTCTGTGAAATACGCACTTGAACTTGTCAGGATAAAAACATGCGTCCTTCCGAATGGAATCGGCGCGCATAGACGCTGATGTATTCATCCAGTGTGTGTGATTTAACGAGGCCTGCTCCGTCTCGTCATAAATCACGTTAATAATCTGAGCTTCCCATTGATTTTTAGTTTTTAAGCCCTCCCCCCGCCCACTCTGGTGCATTATTTGACATCTCCAGCCTTTCCTTCCGATTTGATGAACTCCACTCAGACGCACGCACACACAGACGCGCACACACAGAACTCACGAATCCGCTCTTCCTTTTAGAAGTCTTTATTCATCTGCGTAGAAAAAAAGACGACAGACCAATAAATGGAATAGCGTTTTGCACCCTTTTTTTATGTTTATACATAAGAGTGTTTTCATTATCACATCTGAGGGTGACACTTTTAAAGGAAAAGGATCTCTACACAGAATGAAAGGAAGCTTCAGTGCTTTTAAAAAAATTAAAAAAATAATAAAACAAATGCAAAAAAAAAAAAAACCCTAAAAAACCCACACCGGAGCTCTTCCAATATTACTGGTACACTGTAACACAGGTTGAAAAAGAGAAAGAGAGCTACACAAAGTAAGACTTGGGTTTCAACACTTACAGGCTCTATCTAAATCACCCCTCTCCACTCTCCCCCTTTATTTTTCTCTCTCTACCTTCTCCTCTTCCTCTTCCTGTTAATCTCTGGCTGTATTTTATTAGCGTCTTCTTTGATGTTCCTCCTGCCTTAAAGTACATTAGTGTGGTCAGCGAGAGGCGGTCAGAAAGCAGGGGGTCGCTTGTTTCCCTGTGGTTGTCTTTGAGTTGAATTGCACAGTGTAGCGGTCAGGCTGTGATCCCAGTCACCAGAACATAGTGTCTATGCTGTGCTAAGGCCCATAAAACCACACGACCTGAGTCAACTTATACGTTTCACCTCCCAGAATGCACTAGATCAGGTGTGATTATACTAGTTGTTTTAGTTTCTCCAATTCAGCTAATCTTTATTATAATACAAGTAAATGAATTGCCTTTGTATATGACAGTGTAAGAGGAAAGGCCACAATTTCATTGTTGATCTAAATTAACTGATTAAAGAGGACCTATTATGCGCTTCCCTATTTCAAACGTGGGCCTTAAAAAAACTAACTTCAAATTGCTCTGTTATTTTTTTTTTTGTTTCTACTCTTTGATCTGTTCATATCAAATACGAGGCGATCTCTATAATATGGTCATCACAGGCACACAGCTCTAGTCGTGAGCACAGCACTCCCACCAGTCTGCTGTTCAAACCCTCTGAGGGGCACAGGAAAGGGAGCTGAAGTGGCTCATCTCAGACAGTGGGTGAACTGAGGGGCTGCACCGAGATAAATGACGGTAATTTTGGATTGTAATTCATGCAAAGCAACTCTGGTGCTCGAAGAATAAAAATATGAGGCTGGAAATGAGCAGAATAGGTCCACTTGAATCATCTGGTCCATACAACGTGAGGCAATTGTGGAAAAACGTCTGTCTTAGATTCCTGCACCCTGGGGTAATGTCTTTGAACTGCTTGGTTCATTTAACTAACAGTAAAAAGAGATAAAGATTTTCAATTTACTGAGTAATAAGACTGAGAAAAACTGCAAATACTTAAAATTGGGAAGCTGCAACAGGGAAACATTTGGCATTTGTTTACACAGAGAGATAAAATATTAAAATTTTTAATTTTGGGAGTTTTACAGTTTGGTCAGGTGTTTTTAACTGATTCCTGATTCCTGTCTGGTATTTTTGCTGTAGTCAATCAATATATATTGTAAGCCACTAATAGAGGTCTTTATATACAAATCATTCTTACTCTCTTTTTAAATAAACACAGAGAAAAATATTTTTCCCCCGCTGTAGTCGAATAGATTTGTTAAGAGTGGATTTTAACAAAGAGTAATCAGACCAGTGCCGTTCCAACTTCCACCAAAAAAAGTGTCAGCTGCTAAAACTTATTTTTAATTAAGAAGGTTTAGCCATCCTCTAGAAGATAATGGGTTACTATAATAAGATGTGTGATTAGGATTCTTTCACTTCATTTGCAAAGATAATTTAATAATGACACCAGACCACAATAAAAACTGGGTACATGCAGTGCTGAAATTCCAAGATGAAGTTATTTTTCTTCTTCTTCTTCTTTTTTTTTTTTTACAATAATAGTCGTTCTTGTCAGGCTTGTCTGTTGTCCTGTGGTCTTGGCAATCAGTGTATTTTTTACTCAGATTGTCTCGCCGTGCTTCTTGTCCTTGGTGTTGTCCTACCGATGTTTTTAAAATCCTGAAATGTGCTGTTTATTTAAAAAAAAGATACACGAGGTGAAAGGTAACTACCGAGAAATGTTAAATTCATCTTTGAATTTCAATGATCACAGGCACCTGAAAACAGTCCTTGAAGGAAGCATGCACTCTGTTATCACTCGGCATGTGCTGAGTGCAGTGGGTACACTGTGGGCAAAAACTTAATTCTTTTTTTTTCCTCTTCTTTTTTGGACTATGATGTCACATTATTCCAGTTGTCAACCCTCTTCTTTAACCACCCACTCCCTTCTTGATCCCCCACCTTTTTTTCTCTTTGTGTGCTTTTTTACCTCCTGCTGCTGCATTTGTCACACGCCCTTTTTTCCACTTAGCTCCCCTTTTCTGTCCTCGCTCTTTGCCTGAAGCCAACACACCTCTCTCTGCGTCTACATTCCCCCCAACACAGCTCCGCACCCTCTTTTTTTCCTCATCTCCTTTGATGTTTTCTCCATCCATCCATCCATCCATCCATCCATCCATCCATCCATCACCCCCACCCAAACACATGCTCTCTCTCTCACTCTCATTAGTCTCCTCGTGCTGTGGTTTGTGTCTCTCGTCTCTGTCAGAACTGTTATCACTGCTGTCAGCTCCCTTGGCGAGAACAAAGTCGTCCTCTGCTCACAGCACCACAAAAGACACAAGAGAAATAAAAGGAAAGAGCCTCAGCTGAAAAAAAAGAAAAAAAAAAGAGGCGGAAAGGAGGAAAAAATTAAAAAGGAGGGGAATAAACCAGAGGAAAGGAAGGGGCTTGGAACACATCTTTTCATGTCAACCATGATGCATTGTCATCTGTGGGTTATAACAACCATTGATTTCTTCCTCTGTCATCCCTTTTATCTATACAGCACAAAGCTTACAGTTGGTTGGAAGATTTGAGACCTATCTCTATACACATCAAGTGCCTTTTCCCCATATTATAAATATATCTCCTTCTAAATCAGCTAAGCCTAGTATATCAACCTCAAATAATTTACTGTGTATTATCATTAGCTGAGAAGAACAGTAGGTTTGAAAGACACTGAGATATCCAAAAGAGAAACTGTAACCATTTATAAGAAGCGCTGAAAGAAGGGCCTACTATAAATTGTATTTATACAGTAGAAGAGTATAGTAGGACTTACACTTCTGTCACTCTAGCAATTGTCCAATTAACATAGCAGAAATTCTCTACTTAACAAACCAATCAGAATTGAACCAGCAGAGGCACAGAGGGTACTTTGGAAACCAAGGACAAAATAACCACTAGCCAACAGGGCTTTCGTGGCTCAGGGAGTGCGTCCCTGTATCATCACGTGTAGGCATAATCTATGTCAGGGATGCCACCCTCTCTGTAGCCACGGTTGGTGCCATATGTAACACGATGGTGGCTGGTTTGGCTGAGGATGGTGCCATTTAGGCTGCCAGCTCCGTGACTGCTCCGGTAGGTCCCGTTAGCTTGGGAGGAAGAGGAGGAGGAGGAGGGGAAAATGGTGTGGATGTAGGTGACATCCTCCAGCTTAGGCTGAACAGGCTGATGGGCCATAGCTGTCATCTGAAACCCTGCAGGAGGGGCCCTGATCTCTAAGATGGAAGTGTCTTTCTTGGTGCCTGACTCTACATAGTCATCATAATGTTTTCCTCCCCGACCCCTGTTGTATGACCCCGAGTCCCCGGATATGTAACCTGATCTCTGTCCATACCAGCAGAAGATGCCAAAGATTAACAGAAGGCTCACTAATGCTGTGGCACCCCCAATAATCCCAGCCAGTGGCAGGGCTGTTAATTCTGAGTCTCGTCCCTTTTTATCTGAGCCCTCTTCTCCTGAGTGTGCCAGAGCATCTCCAGTCTCTATCTGTGCACAGGCCGGGGCTGAGTCTTTACTGTCCGTGTCCGTGCTGACAGCTCGAGACGAACCCATGCTGGGGCTCCCAAAGGAAGTTTCCTGTCGTAATGGCAGCAGGCAGATGAGGTAATGGGAGCGTGGGGTGAGCTGGGTTAGAAGATACTGCCTCCTTTCTCCAGGTACCAAAGTCTCTGTTATTGAACCGAGAGCTGCACTGCTGCCCAGCCTCAGCCACGACAGGCGGAAGGAGGGTGCCGGCTCTGGACAAAGCCAACTCACCAGCACGCTGTCTGAAGAGAGAGGTTTTACAGTCAGCTCCAGTGCCTCTCCAGATACGTGCCCTCCTTCACCTGGGGGCAGAGGCATAACTAGGCCTGGCCGCTTAGCTCGCAGGGTGAAAAGAGAACCCTGTGTGGGGATGAGGAGAGAGGTAGTGGTGGTGCTGCCATGGGGGACTGAAGCCACTGCTTGACCCCCTCCAACACCATCTTCACCTCCTCCATCTTTGTCTGCTGGGTTCATCCCTATTCCAGTATTAGGAACAGGAGGGGGACCTTCACACTGCTCCATCAGAGAAGTTAGGTCTCTAAGGGCCTGACCCCTTACAGGCTCAGGCCCCTGACAGGTTAGACCCCTAACTGTAACCGCCGCCCCCCGACCGTGCAGCCAGGCATGGAGCCAGCGAAGGTTGCAGCCGCAGTACCAGGGGTTTCCTCGCAGCAGTAGCAGCTCCAGGCTTTCTGTGTCCTTAAAAAGTCCCCGGGGCAGAGTGGTGAGATTATTCCCCGACAGGTCCAGCCTCTGCAGCCGCCGCATCCCATCTAGCGCCCCCCTCGAGATGTGGGTCATTCCATTGTCTTGCAAATGGAGTCGCACAAGGTGAGCTGAAGGCAGGTTGGCAGGTGGAGACTGCAGAGCGTTCCTGACCAGTGAAAGCTCAGTCAGGTTGGAAAGACGAGAAAAGGTGTCATCTGCTATGCGTGTGTTGGCCAGCAGGTTCCCGTCCAGGACCAAGCGTCTCAGGGAGGAGAGCCCACGGAAGGCATGGGTAGGGATGGTGCTGATTCTGTTGTCATCCAGTCGCAACTCTTCCAAGGATGTTGGCAGGCCTGCGGGGATGCTTGACAGGTGGTTCCGAGACAGAAACAGCAGTCGAAGCCGTGGGGTCCCAGAAAAGGCTCGGTCCTGGATGCTAACTGTGGATATGGAGTTATCATCCAGGTGCAAACGTTCTAGTAATGGTAACTTGGCAAGAGCCGACCGCGGTAACGTTCGTATATTATTATCCTGCAAATGGAGCTCCCGTAATGAAGGCGGGAGGTGTATAGGAAATTCATCCAACTGGTTGGCATACAGGTAAATCACTCGTATGGAAGTGCTGCGTTCCAGCGACGGTGGCAGCCCGGCGTTACTCAGGCGGTTGCTCTGTAAGTACAGGATGGCAGCCGTTAACGGCAGCGGAGGAATAATGCTGAGGCCACGGTCATTGCAGTAGACAAAACCCTCGTCGCAGCGGCAAACCGAGGGGCAAACTATGCCCTCGTCTCCCTCTCCCGTCTCCATGGCAATTGCCGCTGCCGCCAGTTCCAGCACCTCAGCCAATAAGGTGAGGCACAGGAGGAGCAGGAAGAGCCAATCGCGGAGTTCTGCAACACTCTCAGCTGCCATGGTGGCGCACAGCTCCTGATAGGAGAGAAAATGGAAAACTGGATCAAAACAAAGTACAGACACTGAAACCCAATGATTCTAAAATGAATGGAGAAAAAAAAATTCATTATATTCAAATAGGGAAGCAAAAAAAGAAGGACGAGACGGAGCGAGATAGAGTTTCGCTGTGGGGTCTATCTCCAAAATTACTCGACCAAAGTGCTGTGTTTTCTACCTGCTGATAAAAGTAAAGTCTCTTTAAATCTCTAAAGTGCAAAAGATTTGGGGGTTGAATCATCAGATGCACTTATAAGAAGCTGCCCACTATTATATGGGTCAGGGCGACCAAGCAGAAGACAAACGCACATTTAGAGACAGAGTGTGATGAGGGGTGGATTGACTGGACGAGGAGGATTACGAGAATCGGAGAAAGCAAAGGGACGACAGAAATGGAGAAAATTGGACAGTGACATTTGAAGGAAGGGAAAATAAGTGAAGAGGAGTTTTTTTTTTCTTCCACAGAGATTAACTGAAATGGAGTGAGTGACATGAAACTAAAATGGAGGCGAGATCGGGGAGGAGGAAATCAGATTAATTGCCCACAGTCCAGTTGATGGCTCAGAGAGTAGCAGAACTACTAAACTTGTTGTTATTGCCCTATATCTACCCCTAATAAATATATATGATAAAACTGAAGAGAATATAGAAGAAAAGCAGAGAAATTTAGGTTTCATATTGTATACTCAGAAACACAATTTATCTATCAGAGGTCGTGACCAAAACACACACTGAGAAATTTGCTCACACAAATAAACAAATGTACTGAGCACAAAGCATTCACATACAGAAGTCTCAGTACAAGCTGACATGTATAATGCATGGTTTCACTCAGTTGTTATTGTTCGTGAAATTTCTATAAATTATTCAGGAAAGTGGTCCTGAAATCCCCAGAAATGTTTTAGTGAGATGTTTTACAGAGAAGCATTTTTCTGCAACATTAATAGGTTCCTTGGTCGATGTTTTATGATTTGTCTCCTTGCAAATCCTTGACACCAACATCAATAACATGAATTTACAATTCAGATAAAATGATCTCCGTACGTGCACATTCACGGCTCACTATATTTAGAATATGAAAAATATACAGTGGTGAAAGTTGTGGAAATTGCATTGTGGCGTCCTCGTGTTTGAATCCTTTCTTTTAAGTAGCCCGAGGCTGGAAAATGTGCCCTGATGTGAAATGCCTGACATGATTTGACAGCACATTTGATAAACAAATCCTCTAAAGGCAAGTTTTTTTCCCCCCCTTTCTCCGCCCCTTCTGCACATGCATGTTTGTGCGTGTGTGTTTGTATGTGAACTCTGTGCTACATGTAAAATTGCCCCTTGGCTGCAGTCAAAATCCATGCAAAGCAAACGAGAGATGGCAACAATAGTTGAGAGGCAAGGAGGGGAGGGGTGGAGGCGAGGAGACAGATGGACAGTAGGACAGTCAGGAGGAGGAGGAGAGAGGGGGAAATGAGTTCCTGGCAGTGAAGACTGAAGTCACTATCAGCTGGAAAAAGAATAATGGCTCCAAATATTGGTTTGGTGTCATTTTTTTCTATTCTGTGAGATGGATGTAAAAATAGCCGCATTTGTGTACCTGTACATGCTTGTGTGTGTGCCTCTGATGCATGTGTGCGTTTGTGTATGAGAGAAAGATCTGTATCAACAACAACTAGCTCCTGTCTCAGCTCGACACCGGCAGCATTTGATATGTCAGGGTGAAAAAGAGTGTGTGCCACCTAATTCGACGTGGACCCAGACTTGATTTTTCTCTTTTCTTAATAGTATTTTTAGCTCGAATCTGACTATTTCTTTCCCCGGCATGTGAGAGACAGAAAAAGAAAGAAAGAGGTACACATACACACAAGAGGGGCTGTCAAGGTACGAGCTGAGACCATATTGGGATGCTCTATGAATATCAACTAGCATATGTTTCAGTGCCACACTATCCCTGCTTCCCTTTCATAAACATCCTCTTGGCACAAGCTGGCATGTGTGTTTCTTGCCCACATGCCAAGGTTTCCCATCGACACGTTCTTTTAATGATCCTGATTTTTCTCTCGTCTCTCTCCCCTCCCTCCTCCATCCTCTCGCTCTCTCTCTCTCTCGCTGCATCTTTATCACACCGTGTACCTCTCCAATCCGCCCACCTCCCCTTGATAATCTTTCATTATATCTACTTTCAGGTTTGTTTACAGAAGTGTCCGTGCAGTCATCCTCCTCCTCTCCTCCCCTGTTTCTATCTCTCTAATCCTCTTTTATCGTTTCCTCTTCAGTCGTGCGTTGATTCCTGCACACTGAGATTGGATCAATCGGCTCTCCGCTTCCTCTCCTGTCCTCTCCTCCACTGCAACTTAGTTTCTGTTTTTCATTTAGATGCACCTCTCCCCCAAATCTCTTCCTCCTCCACCACTCCCGTCTCTTTCTTACTCCCTCGGCATTCTTGCCTCGGCATCCCCTTTCCGCTCCCTTGTGTTTTTTTTTGTTTTTGACCCCCCCACTTCCCACAAACATTTTAATCATGTTCTGAAGTAAAGGAGCACAGAGCTGGTGTGTGTTTTCTAGTGTCTTCCTTCCTATCCTGTAGCTCAAAGCAAGATGTAAGTGTAGTGTTCCTCACTGTGATGAATGAAGTGTACGTGCGTGCGTGTGTGTGAAAGGTCTGATCGACCCAGGATGTGATTGCCAAGGGCTTGCTCACCTGTTCAGTGTCTGTGCCTTTCACGCCCACCGCAGCCTTGTTTTTCTCTATCAAGGATTTGTGGAGGGGAGTATTAGTGTTTATATGGGTTATTGAGGATGTTGCTGTGGATCTCTGCGTGTTAGCACAATTTCACAGTCTCCTTCGAATCGTTCAGAAGTGTAGCCTCTTTCCTTCGGGCCGTTGAATCTTCCTCAGCTTGGGTGAATGATGATAGGGATGATGATAGTCTGTACTCCAGGGCTCCACAAGTAGCAACACCAGCATGGCTCAAAGCCGCCTCGGCATCCACATTTGTGTCTTCTTTGTGTGTGTGTGTGTGTGTGTCCTGCTGTCAAATTCTCTCTCTCTTGGTAAGGGGCTTTTAGGCCTGCCAACTCAAGTCATCTTCAGCAAGTGTCCAGAGGCCTAATTCTGAAACAGCCCCCCCCCCCCACACTCAAATGCTACAGTTGGGCAGACAGTCAGAAGATGGTTGTGGGCTCAAGGGTCCTTCTTCGAAGTCAAAAGCGACCCCGGTTACTCATGCAGGCAGTGGGTCATGCAAAAATAGTACTGTACCGAGCGGCACTTGCTTCAAATAGACAGGTAGTGGTTTTAATAGATGATCGGCGCGAGGAAAATGAGAATAAGTACGCTTTTCACAGCTCGGAAAAATCCAACAAAGTGTCCTTGATCTGTTATTAGAGCTGTACTATAACAATTATTACAACATGCACTTCACGGTTCAGTGATAGTAATGAGCACTTTTTAAGGCAGTGATGGACAGGCTGGCCTCAGTAAGAGTGCCGACTGTATGAGCAGGATTCAAGGGAAAAGCTCCTTTCTCCTTCTCCCTCAGTTTCAAGCACTCTCTCCTCTGTTAAATGTTTGATCACTTCCTTCTCAGTTCACACAGATCATCTTCAGCAAAGCCAGATGACAGCATGTATTGTATACCGTCCGCTTTAAGGAGTGCTGTGATGGGCTGGCTCAGTGTGAAGAGTTGGTGGAAATGGACAGCCTTTGTATCCTGAAGGTAGACTTCACTGGTGTCGACTTCAGCAGGACAGCTGGCTGAGTGTTAGTGAGCGCCGACCTGAAAAGAGACAGCAGGCGAGAGTAGTATTAGAGGCTTCATTTGGAGATGCATTTGAGCAACGAGGTAAAATCTGTCTGATACAATGGGCCATTTGTAACACATCAGACGTGAAAAGAGAGTGCACAACAAGGAGGATTAAAGGTCACTGATTCAGTTCACGACACTCTTTACAAATTTTGGATTACTGTATGATGCTAATGGAACCAGAGACATTATAATAGAGAGCCAGAGAGACGTGGCACAGATTTTGATGGAAGATCGCTTCAAAAGATGGATGGATGGACAGTGCTGTCTACAAGCCTTTTGTTTCAAAATGTAACATGCAAATGCATGCACAACAAATGTAGCTGCATAAATACAGCTTAATCAAAATAAGTGAGCCGCGTGATAATGATGATGGTGACACTTGCAGAAGTTATGCTAAAATATTTCAAGATGTGCCAAGAATTAAGACTGAGTCTTCTGAAGTAACGTGTCTTAGAAGCTGCATAAAATACATTATGTCGTTGGCTTTGGGGCCAAGCGAGTCACTTTAAGTCATTCGTGTATCTACATTTTAACGAAAGCCTCTTAAGTTTGAGTCGGCTTGTAGTTTTTAACTCTTATTTTAAGCGATGTTAAAAGCTTCATTTTCTTAACCACTGGAGCTTGTCACAGCTGTTTTTGGGTGAGAGGTGGGGTAATAACCACTCTATCACAGGACACAGAGAGACAGAAAACCATTCACACTTAGACATATGGCCAGTTTAAAATCACCAACCTTAAACTAATTTAAAGAAATGGATTCTGGTTAATAAAGGGGAATTGTTCTCATAAATCTGTTGTGGTAATGATCATAGAGTTTATTATATTTCCACAAAAAGAATATTTTAAATATTGGCTTAATGCTTAATGTGCCGTAAATGAAACGTCTTCTAATATATCTTCATTTGTTACACCTGTTTTGTGTAAATGATGCCACCATGTGCTGTTGAGTCTTAATGTTGGCACAATACAGAATCCTAAAAGGTACAGGCTAAATAATTATCCCCATCTGAATGGTTATACCTCTTAAAATTAAGTACCTCGTGAAAATACTTCCTGAAGGTCACCACTGCATATGCACAGCACTGTGCTCCCAGTAGACACAAACCTCCCATTAAGGTAACTCCATATTTTATATCTGTGTTTTTTTTATGTTTTTTCTCTTCAGACAAATCTTTTGAGCTTTTATTAACCATCACGCACTAAGTGCCTGTATCTTATGTGCAGAATCAAACCCCCAGTGAACACTGGTTTTAGAGATATAAGGTTTTCATCAGGCATACTGAGTGTACAGAGACAAATTCATCAAGGCCATTAACTGCTCTGCTGCTCACATTCGCCTCTTCACTTCATCCCAAAGTAAGTAGACTACATCGCCAACTGGGAAATTATCATCCAGTTTGCTTAAACACAAATAGAGACAAATAAAGGCGTCCTCATTTTCATTTTCAAAGGACACGCGCTGCAGCTGAGAAGAACTTGGTCAACAGGCTTATGTCTGTACTCCTGTACATCCTCGAGGGCTGTTAAAAGCTGTGCACTCAGGGCGATGGTGTACAAGTTTTTGTTTCCCATGTGATGTAACTGGTTCCACAGATGGAAACTGGATGTGCAGTTCAGTGAGGTGTTTGGCGAGATAAATGATCCTTTTTATAGGACGTCTTCAGATTGATATCCAGTTGATGCCTAGTAAACTTATTCATATGTGCAGACTGTGGCTAACTCGCATAATGAAAATCAAGCGACGTGGGGCAGAATGATAAAGAGGCAGTGTTTTTGCCAAATGTGTCGACTTTGTTATTGGCATTAAGGAGAAATGAGATAATGGTCTAAGCAAGGACTTGGTGCGGTACTCATTGTTATTCAGTTCATTTGTAATTTGTTAAGGTCTAACAGTTTGCATTTTTGGACTTTAAAGTAGCTACAAAAATAAACACTAATTGGATGTCATCAGTCACGTATTAACAGCAGATGTCACCTTTAATAACGTGAACTGTCATTTTAAAGCTAGTCGCTTTAATTAGCTATAATTTCTGAGCCAACTACTCTTAGACTCGGCACTAATCTTTGCATACTGCAGGCAAAACGTCTGCCCGCACTGGACAAGAAGTGACTATTGAGCATCAGCAGCATCTCCACAGCTCACTGCCATTGGTCATTAGACATCAATATGTGAAGCTCTATCTGTGTGATGTCAAGACTGTCCTTAAAACTTTTTTTGATGGAAGCAAGCCTAACTAGTGGGAGTGTGATGGGAGGACGGCAGACATAAGGAGCATCTATCAGAGCAAGGAGCTTGGAGGCAAAGTACATGCTAGTCATTTGGCAGAGTATGAAAACGGCTGTTTGTCAGAGTTTTGAGGAAGATTAGAGAAAGTTTCACCAAGGTAATGACTTTTGTTAGCCATAACTGCTTGAGAACATTAGGGAAATTGCAGCACTTTTCAAAGGAAATCCGTCTAAAAATAACCTTGTAGAAAGATGTTACACAAAACACGAATGGACACACTTTGACATGGAGTCACAATGATAAAGAAGTTCAAGTGTTTTAGTTTATTTCCTCTTTCATGTGGTTTCATTCCTCTGATGTAAACATTTTCTAGAAATGCACTAATTAGTGGTAGAATATAAAAGTATGATAGAAAAGAGAGGTCAGCTGTTTCACTGTTAAGTCATTGAATGATATGAGGTGGGATCAGACCTTCAATATCAGGCAATGAAAATGGAAAAATGAAAACTACTCTTCGAGTGATAGTGAAGGTTGAAAAGGTCTGACGAAAACAAGTAAGCGAACGTTAAATAACAAGTTCTACCTTACTGAAATAACCATCATGTTTCAAAAGGGACTGCGTTTTCTTTGAAGGCGAAGGTGTCTAGTGTCAGGTTTGCATATCGCTTTTCTTCTTGGTCTGCAACCACTCCCCAATCAGTTGATGAATGCACATTTTTCTGTTGTTGATGGCGGTTATCATGGGGTCACTGACTGGTGACCCTGTTGACTAGGATTTGGCAGTAGATTTTAGAATGACTGCCAGCAACTACTTGCAACTATTCTGGGAGCATTTGTTTTTCCCTAGCAACCGGTAGTTGCCAGGTGGTCTACAACTAGTCTCTGGATGAAACACGCCTTAGCTGATTAGTCAAAAGGTTAATTTAAAACAAGGTGGAGGCTATAGCTTGCAAAGGGGGAACAATTATTATCTTTTCTTAATCTTAACTGATAGCAGATTTTGAGTTTAGGACCATTTGTTGGATAAAACACTTCAAACCATATCTGATATGCTCATTTCCAGTTCCATATTTTCATTCTGGGACTCTACTGAGAGGTCAAGTAAGCCCAAATTATCTTGTGCTAAGCTGTGGTGCAGCTTACATTCTTTCCCTTTTAGCTATTTTTCTTCTAACTAGCTACCCCCTTGTACACCAGAAGTTTGTAGGTTAAGTGGGTGGCGCTGTGTTAATATAGGTTTTAGGTTGCAGTTTACTAAATTTACAATTACGCTTTATTTCCTCAGCTTTTCGCCTGTAGAAAGGTTATATATAGAAAGCAAACTGATGTCTGCTATCGTAATATTATTTCTTCTAATGTTATATCATCCTCTTTACATAACATGTCACACTGTCACTGAAACAAAGAAGCAGTTAAAAAGAAAGCAGTAATCCATATCGTGTGCTGAGGTCAAAAACATTTCTGACTGACCCTTCACTCCATGTCTTTTCTGTTGTACTCGATTTTTTTTTTTTTTTGTCTTTTTGCATAACAGAGACCGGAGAGAACATCTCGTTCCTCAGGGGGACAGAAGTCACTCAGCTCTTGTGAGCCAGTCTACAACAACTGTGTAGCCTACAGGCAGGCAACAGTATGTGACTTTCACTGTGGCATCTGTGCTGTTCAGACGCTCTCACTCCTCTTTCCTTTGTGTAGTAATAAGCAGATATTAGTGTTTTATTTTTCTTTGTTTGGTGCAGAGGCTTATAAAGAAGGCTAGAGATAATAAAACTGCATAAACCAATAAGTGTGATTCTGTACAGATACTGAATCCACATCTGAGCTCAGAGCGACTGAAGACTACAACAAAACAAATCTTTTTACGTTGTGGATACTTTTATGTTAAAGTGTACAGATGAACAGTAAAATGATTCGTGTGACTACAGATGTACAGATGGTGGTAACATATGTGCATGAATACAGCCAGAGCATTCGCATGTGCATTGTTAGTGGTCACCTTGTACGATTTGCGGTTGGAAGCTATAACGAGTGGTACTACAGCTGTTTTTGCTGGCATATTCATTTGTACTGACATGAGGTTCAGAAAGAGGAAATGGTGACATTGAGGCTAAGTAGCATGATAAAAAAACAACAACAACAACCTCAAAACCTTTTCCAAATCCTCCTCCAGATGACCTTCTAGCTGCACTGTCACAAATCTGACACACTGTAGTGGGGGTGGCAGGAAATTGACGATATCAAATCTCCATTTCCATCCACCCTTTGCTCCATCAGGCTGATCAGAATAATTGGGAAAATGGAAAGGAAAGAAAAGTGACAGCTGTGATACTTGGCAGTTTGCTCGCTCTGTGCGCCGGAGTGAGCTAGGACAGAGGAAGTGAGGAAGTAGGAGTTAGGGATTAATAGTTGCGGGGCTGGGGACCAAAGTCTGAGTACTTTGTAATCATGTGGCTGTCTAACCCCAGTGTTAGCGAGGTTGATGAGCATGTGTCCCTGCTGACACACACTCTCTCCATATCCACTCTGCTGAATATTAATATGGAAAAGAGAATTCCTCTGAGCCCCATTGTCAGACGGCCTATTGTTCTCTGCTGGCCTCCGCCTGGGCGCGCGTGTATGTGTGTGTTTTAGTATTAATGTGTAACTTGGTGTCTACATTGTGTGCTTATGCATATTAAGGCCATGTATTCATTGCAAGCGTGCGCTGGCTGCAGCAGAGCAGCCGTTAAAGCGGCAGTTGGGGAGATGAGGGGTGTGTTTGCGGCCCGCCATGGCCAATAAAGACAACTGGCCTGAGAACACTTGGACTAGCCATCAGGGCCCAACACTGGCAATTATTTCACCTAGAGGCGCTATCAGTAAAATGAACACTCTCATTAAAACCGTGTCCACATGTGTGTGCATTTAAATGCGTGTGCGCAGACCCAAGTCAATTTAGAGACACGGCAAATATATGGCAACACAACTGCTCGTCTTTCAATCAAAGGGTAATGTGCTGTTTATGATGTTTTGACTGCGGTTGTGTGCTTGCGCACATGAGTATTTACATACTGAGTTCTCTCGGCGTGCCCATGTGAGCACACGCGTGAGCGTGTACGTCTGTGTTAGCTGTGTGTATGCATCTGTATGGATTTATGTGTGTGAGTGTGTGACTGTTTAACTACCCCACACACGTAACCTCCCCATCTCTGCCTCCCCGTTTCTCATTTACTGAGCCAGCGCCAGTGAGAAGGAGTGTGGGGAAACGAGAAAACAAGTGATAGGAGGGGGAGGAGAATGAGAGATGGTGAAATTGAGGCGGAGAGGGAGGTGAGGAGGGTATAGGTTTATACAGGGAAAAAAAATGAAGTGAGGCTGGAGTAAAAGGGAGAAAGAGAGCAGGGACGGCAGAGAAGAGGGGAAGATAGAGAAGCAGGAAGATGGGGGAAAGAGAAAGAGGCAGAGGAGGAGGCAGCAGATTTATGAAGCCATTGGAATGTAATTTGGAGGCAGAAATTACTGTCAGCCTGTGCAAGGTTTAAAGTCAGTGAAGCCTGAATCCAGGCCCTGCCTCTGTGTGTGTGTTTGTGTGGCAAGTATCAGACAAATGGATAGCAAATGTGATGCAGAGTAATACCACAGAAGCTCCGCAGTTACTTGTCATACACAATGAATGCAGCGTGTAAGTGTTTATGCACACGCACGTTTTTTACAACTACTCCATGCATGAGTGACATGACTGTATGGCATCAGAACACAACCCAGCATTCATATTTAACAGCTCATATTTCATCGATGCTTGAAGACACAGATACACCCCCGCACGCAAACGCGCACACACACTTGCACAAACACAGGCGCTGAATTCTTGTCAGGCTCCGAAGGCCATGACTCCGGCAGAATCAGTCGAGGGTGTCGGCGTGGACAGAACGAAGGCTGGAGGGAGCTGAGCGGGAAAGAAAAAGACAGAGAGCGTGTCAAGGATAGACAGAGAGAAAGGTAGAGGTGGGAAATGAAAAAGATAGAGGGGGAGAGAGAGGGAGAGACTCTAAGAGGAGCTAAAAAGAAGAGCGAGAGGGATGTGACTAGCTTTCTAACGCAGCAACACACAGCTTCCATTTAGCATGAGAGGGAGGGGCGGAGAGGGAGAGAGATGAGGGAAGCGACAAAGCAGGAATAATCAGCAAACATCTAACGGGAGGGAAAGGCTCAATACAGTATATTTTTTCTGATCTGGCGTTACTTTGACAGTTGGTTGTAATGCACACACTTGGGGTTGGCTCTATTTTTGCTGCTAATTTCTACACGGACTTCTCATCGATTAGTTGCAGTGAGCACAAAGGGCAAGCAGTTGAGGCTGGAGTTATTTTTGAAATATTATCCTTTTGACAACACTTTCCTTAAAAAAGAAAAGAAAACCAATACAGTGTTAGTCTGCCCCTCAATGCTTCCTGACCTCCTTAAACTGCCTGCGGCTCTCAGCCCAAAGCCCATTTGTTTGTACTGAAGAAGAACATCTTTAAAACTGCAAATAATTAGTGCATTTGCTGAGGATTACATGGCGATGTATGCGCTTCTATTGAGGGAAAGCACTCTTTATTTTAAAAAGCGTTACCTCCAATAGTGTTGTATTTGTAATAATGAGGATCGTTTATTGACATTAGAATGATTCAAATCTACCTCCTCCTTCTCCCAAATTCATCTAAAAAAAGAAATTTAGAAATAAAAGAAAAAAGCCTCCCCTAGTAATATTGGAAGTCCATTACTGGCTTGATGCAAAGCTTGGTGGGCATCCCTAGTCTGAATAGATGAAATGTGGACTTGCATTGCCTAATGCTGCAGTCACACTTGGGGAAAATAGCGGTTAGAGACCACAACATGACAGAAATTATTGTGACCGTATACAATGAACTTAAAATCTCTGAGTCAGTCTCCAGTCTGAGATCGAATGGGGTCACAAACAATTACGTGGAATCTGTTTGTGATAATATGGTGATTAGCTGTTATTAATACAGCAAATATGGCAAATCTGTTGCCGTCAGTGTTGCAAATGTGTTATTGTCAGATATTAAATTTCATATTAACTACCGGAAATTCAGAAACTGCTCCACAAATAGTGACCTAGCTGCTGCAGGACGACAGTTTATGCAGGAATACAACCAGAATACAACTAGCTGGCAACCCACTGAGTCGAGCCTCCTGTAGATATGTGTGGCAGATACTTTCATTGAACTCGGATTGACTGCAATGTACTGGATCAGTTCAGTTCAATGTATTTATTTGAAAGGGAAAATGCAGTCTAACGTAATTCCAGAACAGAGCACATAAAACTGGTGTGCTGCACATCGAATTTAAGTCTGCTACTAATTTCCAGCACTTGTCCCTTGTTGGGCTTTTACATTAGTAATGCACAAGCAATATTTACAACTTTCAGTTAGATAAAACCATAATAAACATGTACAGATGGTGATGGTCTGTCTGAGAGTCTAAGTTGGACTGTGATTGTTTAGCGACCTGTGCAAACACCTTGTGATCAAAAGTGGCTGCCGCAGCGATTTGCAATTGGTTTCCGACAGCAAAGAAAATCTGACGCAGTCACCCGACAATTACAGATTTTCCTCTAAAGGCAGGAAGTTACCATCCTCTCTTTTACTTTAGTGAGACTGAGTCACAGACTGGAGCTTTTTAGGACATTTTCCAGATATGAGGTACAAAATGTAACTAAAATTCAGAAGGTTCAGCAATAACATGAAATTGACTTGTTTCATTCACTCAGAAATGGAACAAAATGTTTGTACAGAGATCCAAGTGTAGTAGTTTAGCGCTGTGATACAAGAGTTTATGCGTGACAATAATGAAAATCTCAATTTTATTGCTTACATAGTTGATTTCTCTTGTGTAACAAAACTTATATTTTCTTTGTTTCTTCTTCTGTTGTTGCAAAATGAAATCGGTGAAACGTCAGTCTTTCTTTGTGCTGCTTTTTGTTTTGGCCATTTCAAGCTGAGGACTGAATCCCTCACTGCATAACTGCAGGAATGTGAAGCAGTGCTCTGAAAATTACAACACGTTTGTCGTTGCACACATGGAGAAGGGGAAAAAATGTCACACTTCTGATAAATGTCAAGACAAATGTGTTTAACACAGTGACTGGGTAAGATCAGCTTCTTAAAGCAGATCAGTGCTTGGGTGGTTTACGCACCACCCAGCTGCTCCCCTAAAATGGATGCCTCTGAAACACACAGACACACAAACACACAAAGTTCTCCAGATCTTTTCCACACTTTCTGAAACGAACGTCGACACCGTCACCCTCTCAGTCTCTCTTCTTGCTCTTTTGGCCTGTGGACTGACTTTCTCGCTGACACACAAACGCATCAGCTCTCTATTCTTTTCTCCTCGTTGCCAGTGATAACGAAAGCAGCACCATTATGCACTGTGACAACACTACCTCCCACTTACTCTTCAAGGCAGTTCATACCACAGTACAAACTCTGTTTCTGTCTCCGCCTGCTTCCCTCCATCTCCCTCCTCTCACTCAGAATAGTGTTGAGGTCAATTAGCTCTGAATTTGCTTATACACTTGGCTGACTGCTTCAGGATGCTGGAAGGTGTTAAGGAGCATCTGTAGATTATTCAAAAGGTTTTCAAACAGTTTTTTTTTTCTCTGACATCCATCCCCTTTAACACCTTCTCCTACTGTTTGCTATTTACATGTTTCTACATTTTTTTGGTCTCTCCCTTTCTTTCTTTATCTTCGATTTTCTCTCTTTGTTAAGTAAAACTAAACTTTTTGCATTATTACAACAGATGGGTAAAGTTATTGTTATGTAAATGAAGCAGTTTTCTGCTAAAGTTTCAACACCTCTAGATTAACTTTGAAAAAAACCAAACAAAAACCCCCAGCTTTAAGTTTATCTATCTTTGTTTTTTATTTACAGACGATAAATTGAGTGTGATTTTTGAGTTATCGTGGTTTAGTAGTGATGCAAATGGATAACTTGCCATTTGTAGGAGTTTCATAAATGATGAAAACTCCACAGATCAATCACGTTCGTCACATTGTTATCGCCACAGGCCAAAGATGGAAAAGCCACCAGCATCATTAAGGGGACAAATTATGCTAGCTGTCTGGACTGGTCCAACCTCAGGCGTGTGTGGCTGTGCTGAGCGGGGGCTATCCCCTCACGCCTGAGAGGATATGTGGCCGAAATGGTGCGTTATTTCCAGTTTATCCTTCAGAATATACTTTGGACAGAAATTTACAAGGCAAGATAATAAACGTTGGATCTTTGCATAACTGCTTGACTGTCTTGGTGTATGCCTTGGTGGTGTATACGTTTTGTATGCCCCATCACATTTGTTGATACTAATTAAAGTTGAAATTTAGCCATTTAAAAAAAAAAAAGTATTTAAGTTATCTTAAAACACCATATGCAAGGTACAACATACACTAACATATTTTTTTCTCCAGCGTAACTGGAAGATGAGGATCTTACTGGCTCAGAAACAAAAGCCACCTTAATTACTTAACATTTATATAAATATATGCTAGCTTAATCTATAATTATATAGCATTTAATGTATCAGTAGTTTTTTTTTTTATTGTATTGATCCTTCTCAAAAATCTCAAAAATGATCCAATAACTAAAGCTTTAAGGGAGTAAATGCTGTGCAGGTAACCCTGTTGTCTGCCTTCAGCAAAGGTAAAAAAAAATAGTTTGTGGCAAACTGGATAAATGATATTTATTTCAGGTTCATAATTCAGTTGTGCTGTCACTGGGTTTGGGAGCAGGTGGAATAGACTGAATTTTCTTCACAATTAAAAAAAACTCAGCAGGTGTTTTCGTGCACTTTTATTAGCACTTTAATGTGAAAATACTGAGTGGAAATAGAAAATACTCATCAATGAGGCTTCAGTTCGCCTCACCAGTGAACACGATTAATGGAAACATCATTAACGGCCCTAACAGACCAGCAACCTGCCCAACAGATTTTTCTTTTCCCCCCCCCCCGACAGATTTAAAATTTCAAAAACCGACAATGATGTTATTGACAACAAAATTTAAGAGGTTTAAGTTTTTTTTAAAAATCTTAACAATAGTCTGTACACATAATTAATCTCGTATCGATTTAAGGGCTATAAATCTAAACTAATCTGGCAACGTATAGCCTGAGTAGCCGAGTACTGTTTACTCACAACTTAACTTAGTTACATTTTTAGTTCATTATTTTACTTCACTTTTGTTTATGAATCAGCTATCAATTATAGCTACATGTCTGCAATTCTTATATAGAGGAAATGTTGTGTAATTTTTTTTTAATAAAGCCAGCAGCATCCATCTGCCAAGTGTCCGTGATATTGGCGAGGTGAGTTGTCTGCACTGAGTCCAGGGGGTACTAAAGGGCCACAGCTACCCTGGTGTCTCTAAAGAAGTATCTGCTGTTGTTGCAGTAGACGTGGGAGCTGTCATACTTATGAAAATAAAGCTAATAATTTTGTTGGCGTGATTTTGTTAGTACAATAAAGGAACTACATCCGAATTTCATTATAGGATCTTTGGTTGCATTATGATTAGTGAAATAAATCTCATTCTATCAGCATTGATGTCTTTAATATGGGTCAGCCCTACCTTTCATGTGCAGGTCTATTCATTTCAGGCCAGGTTATTGATGGTTTATTAGGTGGGATGTTAGTAAAGCGTGAAAATCAAAGACAAACTTTCTAAATTCAATCCTTTGCCGTCTGTGTCTGTGTGTGGTTAAAATGTTTCTTGCTGTGCATTCTTTCCTTCCCTGTACGACTCCTCCTCTGCTTCTTCTGAGCAAAAAGGACAAAACTCCAGCGGTGATAAGCTACTGAGAGGCAAGCAGTGCAAATGGGAAATTTCAATAGATGGGTCCCAAAACCTTCTGTTGAGAGGGAGAGAAAAGATGAAAAAAAAGGAATGAAAGGAAGAGGATAAAGAGGAAAGATGGAAGAGGGGGAGCGTCGATGGAGGCGGACAGGGAGACAAAGTGAACTATAGAGTTTTCGCCCTGGAGGAAGCCGGTATCCAAAGAGAGAATGAACGGCAGAGGAGGCAGTAAACAAGACTTTGAGAGAGAGCGCTGCTGAAGAGGGGAAAAGAAGAAGAAGAAGAAGAGGAGGAGGAGAAGTTGGGTCGCGATGGGCTTGAGTCTAGGAGGGGAGCTGCAAAGGGACGACAGCAGTGGAGATGAGAGACGTGAAGAAGATTGGTTAACACACACACGCACAAAAACACACACAAACTCTCACACGACACCCAGAGTGAAGGTGTTTTGCATAAATATGGTGCGAATAATGAAAACGCTGGCGGCTTCATTTTAAACACAGCAGCTAATAATTAAAGCAGTCAGACCTCACACTATGGGGCTACAAAGACAGCACACAGATTTTTATGCATAAGCGGTAAATAAACTGTATTATCTCTCTAGGGGCTCTCTGAGGGCTGCGGCCTTGGGTCCTTGCAATATATTCACATCGCTGTGAGCTTGAGCCCAGCTAATTCACCCACCCGCTCTACCTCCAATTAGGGTTAGACAGATACGCAGCCTTAATGATGAGTTTTCTTATTCCCTGACTGAAGTTGCTCCTATCCCCAAAGTCCTAGCCTTTCAATTAAAATTTGATCATTTTTAACGGCAAAGTGAAAACTCAGATTTCAAATGATTCACAGGACAGAAGCCTTCCATAACTGTAATTAGACGGCGATACACAGAAAAGCCAGTGAAAACCTCACAGATGAAGGCTTTTAGGTGGGTTGGCAGCTCCTTAAGGAAGGGTGAGGCAGGTTTCATTGCAGGTTTTTACAGACTGACACCCTTGAAGCTATGAGTAACATCCTCCCACGCCATGTTGGAGTGATTTCTCTGCTCAGCCATCTGCAATAAAGCAAAAATATTCCTAAAAACATATTTAGACCGAGGCCTCCGTCACGTCGGCAGTGGACGATGCGACCTGGCTGGTGCCTGAATGAAACATAAACAGCTTTAATACCGGCCTGTTACGCTGGCCTAACACTGTTCTCTATCAGCACAGGAGGAATGCATCAAATTTATACGCTCAGAGAAACTGCACACCCATCTGCCTGCAGTATAATGTGCCAGGAGATGCTATGATATACCCCGACTCTCAGCAAAACACAAAATGCAGCCCTGCATACACACACATCGTCTTGTGACAGTACGTGGATAAATTGTGCCATTAAATATGATTGAGGGGTTTTCCGTCTCTCTCTCCATCTCTTCCTGTCTGTGTCTCGCTCAGAATGAGGCATGCACAGGAAACACCTACAGATGGGTAATTTAAGGGCCGCACACCCTCTCACACACTCCACCAGAAGGCACTCTTAGATAGGTCACTATTACTCTCGCTAGATTGAACTTGGCACTTATGCCTTTGGAGGAGAATCCCCGGAGTCCTCTGTGTGTGTGTGTGTGTGTGTGTGTGTGTGTGTGTGTGTGTGTGTGTGTGTGTGTGTGTGTGTGTGTGTGTGTGTGTTGTGTGTGTGTGTGCGTGTGTGTGTGTGTCGGACAAAGCAAGTCATTTTTAATCCACTAATATGTGATGTACATGTGGCCTCCTGGTGGCGGGCTAAAGCTCAAATCCAGCTGGCAACCTTTCCTACATTTTGCCCACCAGTGTTTTATATTACTTCCTGTCACTCTCCATTTCATTATTATTCTAGGGAAGGGGAAAAAAGGGAGCTAAACTTCTTAAAAAGAGGACCAAAAAATCCCCCCAACTTGCATGTGAAAAGGCGCTGTTGCTGAGTAAAGAGGCTGAGCTGAAAGCACTTAGAGTCTGCCAGCTGTCTGTCGTTCTGTTTTCGCTGTGTTTATCTTTGTTCCTAATTGTAAACAGACAATGAGTACACTCCAGAGAAGCTATAGGGTAATTATCAATTCTTATTCAAGCTCAAAGTCTAGTGCAACCCATGCATACCTAAGAGATCTATTGGCATTCTATTCATCAGGTCGAGCACGTATTCCTGCCACTTGTCCTTACGCTCATGCACCATCTTGTCTTGCTTTGCAGAAAGAGGAGCACTTTCTGAACATTACTAGGTATCATGACTGATGATTTCAAAGAGTGTAGCACAGTTTGACTAGAACTCTTTTCTGCCATAGGCGATTAGACATATAAGGCCTTGTGCACCTTGTGTTATAACGCAACCAATCTCTGCTCTTTCTGGAAAACTGGTCATAAAGTCATTCACCAATAAAATGGAGGCAAAAACATCACTAAATAAGGGCAATTTATGCAAGCAAGCATGTAAAGGATAGAAATCAGATGTTTCCTACGAACTCACTTTTATTTTAGAACACTTACTGTTTGCCATTAAGCAACGAGAAACCTCAGGACAAACCTGCCAGCAAAAAAACACAGCTGGTGCGAATCTCAAAATTGAAAATTAAGCTTTTATTTTTTTTTAATCTTTTTATTTTTTTTACGTTCCAAGTAAATTACATGCACCACATGTCATTGCAACACTAATTTCTGCTGCAGGCAGAGCACTCAGACTGTTGCAACAGATGCAAAGCGTGAAAATCAAAGACAAACTTTCTAAATTCAATCCTTTGCCGTCTGTGTCTGTGTGTGGTTAAAATGTTTCTTGCTGTGCATTCTTTCCT